CCCTGGCCGGCCTCCCCCCGCACCTGCCCCGACGGCGGCTACAGCGGCCCCCCCTGCCACAGCTGTGAGTGCTTCTGCCAAAGGTCGGAAGTTTGAGACCAAGCTTTAAAATATCAGCTGTCAGTCAGGACATCACAAAGACTCGCCTCTGAGTTCTCCTCCCAGAAAACTCACCTCTGCATTTATCTTTAACCTTGGAGAGAAAAATGTAGCGGGTCTGATTCGGCCTGCGGGCCTCGAGTTTGACATACGTGGTCCGAAGTAATGCACGGCCTAGTAGAAGTCTTATACTTGTAAGAAAGTATCGCAATATTTCATTTTACAAGACAGTATCATTTTCTACAGCAGTGTACGACATTTTTATTAACAATTAACAGTTACAGATTCATGGTGTCGGGCCTGATAGAATATCACAGAATATCACAGAATATCACAGTATATCGTTGCCAATACACAGCCCTTCTTATGATTCGAGGTTGAAAGTGATATTAGTATTGAAGTAGTACTTAACCTGGTTAACGAATTAACAATTTTAGTGAAAAAAAAAATCCTTGTGAAGGAGTTTTTTTTCCCTCTGCTGGATGTGAATCACAGCTAATAACAGAGCAGTACAGGGAGTAGGAGGGCGGCCATTATGGAACACAGAGAGAGAGAGAGAGAGAGAGAGAGTGCAATCAGTGCACATAATGAATTTCCTTTTTACCCTCACGGCATGAAAGAAAAAAACAACACATTAGTTTGGATGTGAAGTAGGAGAAAAGAGACCAGAAGGTAAAGTTACAGAAGTTTAAATCTGAGGAAAAGTCTTCCAGAGAACCTCACTTTAAAAAAAAAAAAGTCATTTTAATGTGAACACTTAACAGTCTGAACTTCACCAGACTGAAAAGCTGTAATTCACTGCTGACCAATCACAGAGGCAGTTCAACACTAACATATATATATAAATATATACAGTATATATGTGCGAGCTAATGAGATTTAGCTTGGACTCATTTCATATTTCTTAATATTTCTCTCTCTCGTAGCTGTGTCTGGAGCTAACGTATTGGCGAGCAGATATTTGAGGAGGTTTCGTCCGAAGTCTCTGCTAATTTCTCACATTTCACACTGAGTGGAGTGAAGCTTATGGCTGAGGTTTAATGGACCTGTGCTTGTTCTCCCTGAGCCAAATCCTCAGGACCTTGAGATAAACGTTCCCACAGTCATTATTTATAGCAGATGTTGCTGCAGTCTTCACACACACACACACACACAGAGAGAGAGAGAGAGAGAGAGAGAGAGAGAGAGGAGAAGAGGTGAATAAAAGTCTTGTGGTTGAGGAGGAGAGAGAGATAAACAGGTGAGCAGAGTGTGAGAACCTCTAAATATGGGTTTGACCCAGGTGGGGTGGGCAGGGAGGAGGTGATGTGGTCTCGGCCGAGAGAGAGAGAGGCCCACGCTGCGTGTACAGATGTACAGATGTACAGATGTGGTGTGACGTGTCAGCTGATCTGGTGATTCTCCCCGCAGCCGTCTACCAACAGTCCTGCGAGGCGTACAAACACAACGGCAACACGTCGGGACATTATCACATCGACGTGGACGGCAGTGGACCAATCAGACCGCAGCTGGTCTACTGCAACATGACAGGTGACTCATGGTACCACGGTGTACCACGGTGTACTCCCAGCGAAGTAGTACTTTATATTTGAATTAAAAAAACTCAGTACACAGTATTAGTACCTTCAACGTCAAAGTAACTGAAGTATTTTTTACTTTGGTAGTAGTAGTAGTACTGGTAGTAGTAGTAGTAATAGTAGTAGTAGTAATAGTAGTAGCAGTAGTAGTAATAGTAGTAGTAGTACTAGTAGTAGTAGTAGTAATAGTAGTAGTAGTAGTAGTAGTAGTAGTAGTAGTAGTAGTAGTAGTAGTAGTAGTAGTAGTAGTAGTAGTAGTAGTAGTAGTAGTAATAGTAGGAGTAGCAGCAGTAGTAGTAATAGC